ACTCTTGGTCCGGTCAAATAAAGACGTCTTTGCAAAACAACAGGGTCGACAAAACAACAGCACTTCGCGAAATATTTTGTTTGAATATTTTTATTTGAAATAAAAAATATCAAAAAACATTCCAAGCTATCCTTTCCTCAATTCAATATGTGTTAAGTTAAACAACACATTTCCACATTGTATAAATTAGAATGGATGCATTCACTTGCTTGTCAAACTTAATTAATTCTTCTTCAAGTGCATACATCATTCAGCGATATAGAATGAAAGCTACAGTCTTACTGTGTACTCTGTTTTGCACGGCTTTCATAATTGCTTCACAAGTATCTACTGTGTCAGGAGCTCCGATATTATCAGACGACAGCACAATGGCATCAGACTTTCAGCCAAAACCAAGAAGGAGACGCAGCATTGGTGTTCTGGGTTATATGGGTGTAAGAAGAAGAGGCTGACGCTCTTTAAGTAGCGATACTCCCATCGTCAAGAGTAACAACTAAATGTATCTCAAGATGAAGTAGCACAAAAAAGACTGCGATCTCTAATTGGGACAATTGAGAGGGCAAGAAGTCATTTCTCATAGACTTATAGTACAATTTATTGCTGAAGCCAACGAGGACACCTTTAAGTTTGAAAAAAACAAGTTAACGTAACTTAAGATGGCCATGGTTCGTGGTGCTCCTCGAAATCCTTGAAAYGTCCTGGAATGCGAAACTCGTTTTCAAGTGCTCTTGAAAATGAGAAAGATCGGTAATGCTCTAGAGAAACTCCTTGAATCTAAGAAAATGGACATGTTTCTTGTTTGCTTTTGAATTYAATGTGCTAGTTTTAAAAATCACACTAGAAACATTTGCAAACATCAAAAAATATCTTCAAATAAAGTCCTTGAAAATCGCTGGGTCTTGTGCTTTAAAAAATACTTGAAAAGTCCTGAAATTGTGTAGTGAAAATGTAGCACGAACCCTGGATAATGATAATAAACAGAAAAATAGTAGGAAAGATCGACTGATTTAAAAAAACGTAGGTGTACAACAGTGCATAGATGAAACACAAAAATGATGTAAGTATATTTAACAAATCGTAGTCACTTTTCTATGGTCAGTACGCTTATCGACAATGAAAATGACGTCAGAAAATGATCAAAACTCAAGTTTTGATCATTTTTTGGCGTCATTACTCGGGTTTCCAAAGGAATCCCCGAGTTTAAATTTCGGGTGTCTTTTTGTTATTTTTGTTCATTGTCGTCGCTTATCAGTCACAAATTGTCSAAGATCACGTGACATTCACATCTTCCATGTGATCTTGGATTTCTTGGTAGTGGCGACTGTTATATCAAACAAGCTACATATCTTATCAAAAGCGAACTCAATACTAACTCATACAGGCTCAGAAACTACAAAGGACTTATCTAAGGAATGCCATCAGAGTTCTTTTGAGGAAAAACCGACGATTGGAAGTATTTTATCACGCGGAAAAGATAAAGGACTCTGTGTTTATGAAGCTTGTGACTATCAAAGTGAGACGTCGTCGACCAGCTTGCCGCCGAAGATCAATTCTATCATAATATTACTAGTAATGCTAAGCACATTGCTTCTGTTATTATATTTCATTCCAGTAAATATTTTTTGCTTTTCCCTTTTGAAAGTATTAATATTAACTTTATTAGGGTTCAATACAGTCGAATTCTTCGACCACTTCAGTCAAACAATATCACTTCTGTCACTTCATCGTTTAGTGATTGCCATGATATCTCACGATACTTACATAACATGTAGCTACTAATAGAGATAGATTGTTTATCATCGAATCCGCCACAATATTCAAAGATATTCTAAGTTCCATAACTATGTCAACTTCGGACAGCTTAGATGAAAGTACTTTATCTCAAAATTATTAAAGAGGATCACGAACGTAAGCTCATTATAGATTTCTGCCTCAAGGACGAATCAGTAAAATAAACAAAAAATAAACTTTGCAAATAAAGNATCAAATATTGGATTTTCACTCTCCAATTGATGGAGTAAAATTTAAAAATGAAGGAGAGTTCCAAAAATTCACTTCACAAAAATGATATCACTTAACTCTTGGTCGGTCAAATAAAGACGTCTTTGAAAAACAACAGGGTCAATAAAACAACAGCACTTCGCGAAATATTTTGTTTGATCATTTTTATTTGAAATAGAAAACATCAAAAAACATTCCAAGCTATCCTTTCCTCAATTCAATATGTGTTAAGTTAAACAACACATTTCCACATTGTATAAATTAGAATGGATGCATTCACTTGCTTGTCAAACTTAATTAATTCTTCTTCAAGTKCATATATCATTCARCGATATAGAATGAAAGCTACAGTCTTACTGTGTACTCTGTTTTGCACGGCTTTCATAATTGCTTCACAAGTATCTACTGTGTCGGGAGCTCCAATATTATCAGACGACAGCACAATGGCATCAGACTTTCAGCCAAAACCAAGAGACGCAGCATTGGTGTTCTGGGTTATTTGGGTGTAAGAAGAAGAGGCTGGCGGTCTTTTAAGTAGCGATACTCGCATCGKCAAGAGTAACAACTAAATGTATCTCAAGATGAAGTAGCACAAAAAAGACTGCGATCTCTAATTGGAAAAATTTGAGAGGGCGAGTAATTATCTCTGACTCATAGACTAAGTGCAAAGTGGCTTATAGTACAATTTATTGCTGGAGCCAAAAGAATAGTAGGAAAGACTGGTTAAAAAAACGAAAGTGTACAACAGTGCATAGACGAAACACAAAAATGATGTAAGTATATAGCTTCATGAATCCGCGGTCTTTCAACTTGACATCCTTTTGTCCTCTGCGTCAAAGTAGTGAAATAACGTTTTTTTTTTTTTCTTGCCGAAACCGTTTGGTACTCAATGTCGTCTGTGGTTAAGAAATATAAAACGGCGCGCGTGTCTCTGTCCTCTGATATAAACACGGTGGGAGTTCGAAAAACACGAGAGAAGCAAGCTTAGGAACACGAGCGTAGCGAAACATAGTTCACCTTCAGCCATTTTGCCATCAACGCGCGGTATGTGAGAGAAGCCATTTCATTGTTGTGAACGTCGCTTTCTGATTGGCTGCTTACGATTTTTCTGTGTTGTGATTGGTTATATTTTCACATGTGTAAACAAAATAAATTCAAAATAAAAAATTCCTSATCTTTTCGAGCAGCAGTGTTGCTCAGTTTAAGCTTAGGCCTTCAGYGTTTTTTTCTTGATTTTTGTTGAGCAACAAGTTGCAGCAAATCAGGTAGGGTAAAAACGAGAAACATGGACTCTCAACTCAAGAGAGACAACGTTGCGAGAMAAGCTGAGTGTTTTTAACCGATTTTTTATTTATTATGTTCATCCGTGTTTCAACAATTCTAAATATGTAGAAACACATTGCATAGCTATAGACATCAATGTATGAACCACAGTTCTATTTAAATKTATAAAATTTTTGATATATAACGCGCGCTCTGATTGGCTGACGACAGTGTTTATATCAGAGGACAGAGACACGGMTTACCGGCAAAGTTTTCTTTTCGCTCGAAAMATTTTATAAAAGAAATATAAAACGGCTGCTTGTGTCTCTGTCCTCTGATATAAACACGGTGGGAGTTGAAAAACACTCGAGAAGCAAGAGAAAT